GAGGCTGCCATATCGCGCCATCGGTGCGGTAGGGTAAAGTGTCTTGCCCAAGGACACAACGACCAGGACAGAGAGCCCGGGGATCGAACCGGCAACCTTCCGGTTACAGATGCGCTTCCCAACCCCCTGAGCTATGGTCGCCCCATGATGTGATCAAAAATGTCTTTTTTTTTTTCTTTTTAAACAAATCTAACTCCTTGGGCCTCGGTAACTTTTAAAACTCAACAGAAATGAGTTCAGTGGGTAACCAAACAGGTGAAATTCAAATGAAGTGTTACTTTTCACTTCTGAACCAAAATGAAACCTTTTTAAGCACATTATCTAAGACTGGTCTTCAGAGACTGGCCAGCTGGATTAAGACAAAAAAATGTATGTTTTGAGGGGGTTTTAGGCTTTGGTTTTGGGTTGAAAAGAGTGGAACATAAGGCAAACGTCCCTTCATGCTTGGTTACAGTGGTGTTTGATCATGAGACAGAGACCATGTCAGCAGAGAGTATTTGGCATTTCAGGCATTAAGGCGGTTTTACTGAAGTGCAGTAGACAAATGACCCTAAAGGAAACTCAAAAGTAAACGTCCTGACCAAACATCCGTATGTGATGGTTTAGGAGTAAGAGCGTCCTGTGCTTCTGATTCTCAGTTGTTATTATTGTGTCCGTGTGACTCTATTAGCACCGTTAATGATTTAGACTTGAGGCACTAAAAGGGCCACATTAGTTTCACATGTCAGTGACAATTATTGAAATGTGTACACATTTTCAATCACTGAAAAGCACAGAACAGTGTCACATCATTTTTCATCTATCGCTTCAGGGGCCATGTGCATAGTCGTGGTGTACAGCTGATGAATTACACTGTGAACAGTTTTGTTGATAAGGAAGGAAACCCACTGGCAGCATCGTGCTTTTAAATTATTTACTTTCCCCATCAAGTCCATCCACTGGCTCTCGAAGGGCTTTTTAGCACCATATCCAGTGTTAAATATTTTTGGTTTTAAACTTTCTAAAAAACTTTCAAAAAACTTTTTTTAAATACAGCTCTGTTATGAACTGATTTCTCTTGGCTATGAAGTACCACAAATGCTGTCCCGAAATGCAACATTTTGCTTCCTTAACACATCCATGCTGTGCAGTAACACAGCAGAAGTCAGACTTGCCTTGAGGAACTTAACAAAAAGTGTGAAATTAGTAACAGAGGAGGCATGCTGGGAGTGTTTTTTCTTTTTCTTTTTTTTCATTTGATGGCAAAAAATTTGAACCCCAAGGCGTGTATTTCTCACCACGACACCATGACAATATTTGTGTGGAGCTGCATGGTGGCAAAAGACCACAGACTGTAACACACAGGAGGAGCTTTAGTTTGAGGTGAATTACCAAAGTAATTTCTTCAAGTGTAGTAATGGAACAGATTAATCAAAGTGAAATGTGGCCTGTTTCGCACATTTACAGAAGAAGTGTTGCTCATTGTATGCGCCGTTTGTCTTTGAGGCATCAGTTGCGCAGCAGCGCATCATGCCTGCTCTCTGACTGTTTACAAAAATCCTATCGATCGTTCCAATGGGATGCTGCATTAAGGACCACAAAACAGGAAAAACTTCCAATAGTTATCATTGCTACACACTTATTCGAATTCTAAGGAAATTTAAATCTCTTTATTGATTTGTCACAGCATGATTTTTATTTAAAAAAAAAATTTCCAAAGATTTTTAGATATCTTTCAACAAACACCAAGGACATACAATAGCAGATAGTTAGATTATAATTTCTTTGATATCTAATCAAGTGGCACGTAACTGAACAGCTACATACCATAGAAACAGACATTGATTTATTTGTGTGAAAATATAATCCAATTAATGTGAGAGTATGCTAAAAAATACTGTGGCAAACCAAAACCACTAGCCATATTTGTCACATTGTTTGACACAAGAAACGTAAACAGATTCCCCTAACACTCCCTAACATAGTTATTTACTTGTTCATTCATAACATGGTTGAAGGGTGTTTCATGATTTATGAGATCGATG